CACCACAGCTCAAAAGCGTCACCTTCCCTTGGAGACAGCACAACTAAACTTAAGAGACACTGGTCAAAAGAAAAATGTCAGCAGTCGACGTTTTTGGAATCACAGAAGCCAAGAAAGCTTAAGATACAAGCTGTCATATCATGGGTTGGACAATGGAAGATATTTTCTGAAGGGACTTGACAGATGAGAAAGGTTATCCTGGTGGAGGGTGCAGCTGGGAAGTAAGTGGGTCAAGGCACTGGGCTAATGGTGGGGTCAACACTGTAACTAATGCTTACCTCCACAATAAGGGATTTATCTTTAACTGCTCCACAAATTGCTGTCTGTCAGATACTCCTCTAAATCTGAACATTCAGATTAAGACAGACTAGGAAGAAGGTTTGGCCACCCACTTCTGAAATAGCAGGCCTCTGAAAACACTATGCACAACAAAATGTCTGAAATTAGAGCCTCAAATTTTAAAATTTTAATATGTTGGTATATTTGTTTCTATTTTTAATTTATTTTTTCTACTTGGTTTTGTTGTTGTTAATTCTTCAGGAACTTTGTCTATGATTTCATTGTCTTTCCTTGAACTTTCATCTCTGTCTGGTGAAGGCTCATAACTACGATTCTTTTCCGTTACTCATCATAAAGTTCCAGTGATGTTTATCCCCCTGAAATATTTTTAGTTCTGCATTTTGACCATTTATTATTGTTGTTGCTATAGTGAATAAACTGCTACTTATAGTAATCCTATGAACAACAGATTAAGAATCTTGCTCTATCTTGTAATTTTCATGATAGTCAACATATTTGAACCCGCTATTACTATTATTATCTTATCCATCTTGTTAAAAATCATTCTATGGGAAAGCATAAAGTTTGACTCCTCTACCTGGCCAATGTCAGACTACATCAACACTAGTCCAGTATGTCATCAAATTTTCTAGATGAACAGAAAATATGCCTTCATCAGACTACCAAGTTTTTGAGTAGTTTGAATTCACTATTCAATCAGATCTATCGAAACAAAATAATATGAAGATATTAGTGCCACAATGTCTTGGGAGCAACAGAGAGCATCAAAGCATACACATACAAACATATAAACAAAATACAACAAGATGCCACAAATTAGTAACAAAAAGGAGAAGATTCTCAGCATGAAAACAATGTGAATAAAGGGATGTGTGAAACATGATATATATAAATAAAACACAATTAGCATTCAAATAAATACAGAACAAACAAAGACTATATGTCTAAATTAAGTCATGAAACAAAATTTTAGTTACTTGGTATATAAAGACTTAACTACGTGTGTATCTCTATTTACTTTTTTTCCAGGATGGATTGCTATTATGGGTGCTCTCTGGTTGCTAATTTTAGCTGATATCCATGATTTTGAGATAATTCTACATAGAGTGGAATGGGCAACACTTCTTTTCTTTGCAGCACTCTTCGTTCTGATGGAGGTAAGATTTTAATACAGTTTTTGTTATAAAAATATGTTATTTTTATCTAGTTTTGATAGTTCATATTGCCTTTAGTGAATGAATAAAGCTAAGTCTATGTTTTTACATACTAATTAAGTAGAAAATTGTGGCAACTACAATGTGACTATAATTAAATAATCAGTTGCCAAAATATTTACTATAAAATTATTTATTTGGCTGTTTTCTACCTCCTCTCTTGCCCCAAATGATCACTGTCACTACAAATTTGTTATATTTTTTTGTTATTTTTTCCTAAAAGTCATACTTTTACTCTAAGTTGGACTTGAGAAAAAATGACTTGCTGGCTCCCGTAGCCTAGTGTAAGAAGGTGTACTGTAGTCCCAAAGTTATGTGGTTTGAATCCACCAGCTGCTCTGCCAGTGAACGATGCACCCTTTCCTCTTGTGCTATTTACTCCTTCTGAAAACCCACTGGAGGGTTAGCAGTGGGGCAATTTTGACTTGACAGTGTACAACACAATAACAGAAAGAATACGGGGCAATATTACTTTCAGAAAATATTTCATTTTGTCTCATATTTGAGTAAACACTTCTGTGTTATTACAGATGACACTGCATTATGGATATGAATGAAAAGTATTTACTATTGCAGTTATGATTGTGGTTATAAATTCATTCACAATGAGTTTTAATCTTTTTTTAAATTTTATATTAGTTCATTCACAAAGTTCATATACATTGTGTTTCACACATTCAAATTATGTTTCATGCAATCATTCCCATGCATTATGTTATATAAAATAAGTCACCATTGGACCTTGCATGTCATTACTCAGTCTTTTAGGTCTTCACCAGATCCTTCCCATTTCCTTTACCCCCTTCTTCCACCCACCAAACTCTGCAACCCTGTGGTATTGCCCTTACCTGTTCTCACCACTACAATTCCATCCCTTCCCCCTAGGGTTCCATACATGTTTTATCAGTTATCCTTCTATTTTTACAATAATGATCTTATGCAGTATTTGTCTTATGAGACTGAGTTAGTTCACTCAGAATGATGCTCTCCAGTCTCTCCCAAGTTATGTAGTATTTTTTTCAAAATTGTTGCTCCTGAGAGCTGCATAGTATTCCATTGTGTGAATAAACCACAATTTCTCAATCCATTTGAATGTAGTTGGGCAATTCGGCTATTTCCATGTTCATGCAAAGGTGACTAATGCTGCTATGAACATTGCTGTACAGTTCTCTGTTTGTGTTTCAGATCTGATTTCCTTGGGACATATTCCTAGTTGTGGAAGAGCTAGGTCATACAGAAGTTCTATGTTTAATTTTTTGAGGAAATGCTAAACTGGTTACAATCCCACAAACAGTGGATGAGAGTTCTTATCTCTCCTTATCATCTCCAACATTTATTTCTTGCTGCAGTATTAAGCTTTGCTACTGAGATAAAAGAATATCTCATTGTGGTTTTAATTTGCATCTCTCTTATTGTAATTGACTTTGAACATTTCTTCATGTCTCTGTTGTCCATTTTCTTCCTCTTCCTCTGTGCAACATCTTTCCATGTCTTTTGCTCATTTTATAATTGGGTTATCAGTCTTTTTTCTTCTGGAGGCCCAGGAAAATTCTGTAAACTTTTGTTATGAGATTCTTGTATGAGATAGTATAGCCAAATGTTTGTTCTTAGACCATAGGTTTTCTTTCACCATGTTAAAAAAGCTTTTGATAAGCACAGAGATTTAATCTTTAGAAGGTCTCATTCATCAATTTTTTTATCTCCTGATACTTCACTTACAAACTGTATCTTAGGATTTTCTAGATAAACAGATCCAGTTATATAAAAGAAACTCTGGCAGCACAGCTATACTTACAGAATTTCTGCAGTTTGAACCTATCAGTTATTCCACAGGAAAAGGTGGGGCAATCTGCTTCTGTAAAGATTATAGCTGTGAGAATCTTATGGAGTGTTTGTACTCCTCTAAAGTGGGAGAAAATAAAAACCAAAAGGTCAGTTTATGTTGGGGTTTTTGGTCTGAGATGCCATCAACTCAGCTGTGTTCCATACAGAAATGTAGGCCCACGCCTGCTGGGTAAGGACAAGTGTCTTGGTAGTCTTAGTGTCAGTCTTAGTGTCTGGCTTCTTGAAGAAAGGCAGGTATGGAAGACTCCGGGAGTTCATGTCTTTCTTTTTGCCACAAATGGGTGTCAGCAGAGTGGACTTGCCAGGTGAATTGGGAGTCTCTGGCCCAGAATTCGCCAGCATTGGGGCCTGCCAGAATGGTAAAATACAGAAATGTTGGGCCATGGCTGCAGGGTAAGAGCGATGTCTTGGGAGTCTTAATGTCAGCTGGAGGTGGCCTCTTGATTCTTGAAGAGGGGCAGGTATGGAAGGCTCCGGGAGCTCATGGCTTTCTTTTTCTTCAATTTTTTTATCATTTTTTAATTAATTTTAATGAAATTTCAGACTTTGGTTTCCATTCATTCACTGTTGCTATTTTCTTGCTGCCCCCCTCCCCCACTCTTCTCTTTGAAAAATGAAAGAACAGTTCCCTCATTGTTTTACAATCCCTCCCCCCAGGTCCACTCCACTATGCATCATTTGTTCTGGACTCCTGTCATGACAATAATCCCTAATTACATATCCCTTTTAAACAGTTTTCTCCCTCATCTGTTTCAATGCAGTATATGTTATTTATCCCATCTTTCTCAGTCCCCCTGCAACCTCGAGGTCAGTCCTGTTTTACAACAGTGGCACTATGCAGCATTTGTCCCTTTGTGACCAAGATATTTCACATAGCCTAGTGTCCTTGAGGGTCACCCATTTTGAATAATATTGCATGAGTTCCTTGTTTTTCAATGCAGTGTTGTATTCCATTGTGTGAATATATTACAGCTTCTCTATCCATTTGTTTGCTGATGGGCACTTAGGATGTTTCCAGTATAAACATGGGTGAGCATATAACTGCTTGGGTGTCAGTTATGGTCTCTTTGGAGTATATTCCCAGTAACGGAATTGCTGGGTCAAATGATATTTCTATTTGAAACTTTTTGAGAGATCACCATAGAGCCTTCCATAGTGATTGCACTGTTTTACATTCTGACCAACAGTGAATAGGAGTTCCAGTTTCTCCACAACCTCACCAGCATTTGTTGCTTGCTGTTCTGTTAAATTTTGCCATTCTTACTCGGGTGAGGTTATATCTCATAGTTTTTTTTATTCGCATCTCTCTTAGAGCTAGGGATTTTGAACATTTCTTCATGTGCTTGTTTGCCATCTGAATATCTATCTCCTTTGGTGAAGTGTCTGTTCATGTCCTGTGCCCATTTTTCAATTGGATTGTTTATCTTATTGTGGTGCTCAAGTATTTTCTAAATCCTGGATATAAGATGCTTATCTAATATGTTGCATTACCAAATGCTTTTTACCAGCTGTGGCTTCCCTTTTTACCCTGTTGAAGAAGTTTTTGGATGTGAGTAGGGATTTGATACTTAGAAGGTCCCATTCATCTATTTTATCTTCTCCTGGTTGTAGATTTTTTTAGGATACTTGGAAGACTGTTTACATTGTGGATTAGGACTTCTAGAGTTCTTCTAAGATTTTCTTTAATGAAGTTTAAAGTCCTTGGTTTTAGTTCTAGGTCCATGATCCACCTAAAGTTGGTTTTTCTGTATGGAGTGGGGTGTGAATCTTGCTTGAGTCTTCTGCAGATAATTTTCCAATTTTGCCAACACAATTTGTTAAAATGGCTATCGTTTCCCCACTTAACTGATTTCATCTCCTTGTCAAAAATCAGTTGACCATAGGTAGATGTGCTGATTTCCGGTTTCTCAATTCTATTCCATTGATCTACGTGTCTGTCATTGTACCAGTACCATGCTGTCTTAATCACCATGGCAGTGTAGTAGGATTTGAAATCAGGTAGTGAGACGCCTCCTACCTTGTTTCTCTTTTTAAGGAATTTTTTCTTATTCGGGGCTTCTTTCCATTCCAAATGAAACTGGAGATTACCTTTTCCATCTCGTTGAAGAATGGATTGGTATTTGTTTTGAGATTGCATTGAATGTGTAAATTGGCTTTGGTAGTATTGCCATTTTCACAATATTGAGTCTTTCTATCCTTGAGCAAGGGATATTCTTCCACTTCTTCAGGTCTCTTTTTGTGTCTTGTAGTAATGTTTTATAATTTTCTCTGAATAGATCCTTTGTGCTTCTGGTTAGATTTACTCCCAAGTATTTAGTCTTGTGACTCGGTATTGTGAAGTGCATTGTTTTTCCTAGTTCTGGCTCTGTATTCTCTTTGTCACTGTAGAGAAATCCAGCTGATTTTTGTATGTTGATCTTGTATCCTGCTAATTTGCTGAATTGGGCCACTGTGTCCAATAGTTTTCTTGCTGACTCTTTAGGGTTTTCTATGTATACTGTCATGTCATCTGCATAGAGAGATAATTTTACCTTCTCTTTGCCAATTTGGATACCTTTTATTTTCTTCTCTTGTCTTACTGCTATTGCTAAGACTTCCAATACAATATTGACTAAGAGAGGTGATGGTGGGCATTCTTGCCTAGTTCCTGTTCTTAAAGGGAATGAATTTACCCTCTCTCCATTGAGAACAATGTTGGCTCTCTGGTTTGCATAAATGCTTTTTACTTTGTTGAAGAAATTCCCCTCTAATACTATTTTGTTGAGTGTTTTAATCAGGGAACAGTGTTGGATTTTTGTCAAAGACCTTTTCTGCATCTATTGATAGGATCATGTGGTTCTTGTTCTTTTCTTTGTTAATGTGATGAATTACATTAATTGTTTTCCTTATGTTGAACCATCCTTGCATACCTGTTATGAATCCCACTTGGTCATGGTGAATTATTTCTTTGATGTATCATTGAATTGTTATTGGCCTATAGTTTCAATTTTGGTGGTTTCCTTTCCTGGCTTTGGTATAAAGGATGTTTGCTTCATAGAACGATTTTGGGAGAATTCCATCTTTCTCTATTTCCTGAAATAGTTCATGTAGAATTGATG